CACCAGGTGGAAAGTGAAGAAGAGTGGGAAACCCACTATGCCTGCAGACACACCAGGAAGCCCTGCGCGTCCGAACAGATGGAATACCGAGAGGAAGGCGCTGCTACTGAGGCTGCAAGAACCTCCCAGTTGCCTGATGTCTGCCTGGAGACAGAAGACAAGAGAACTGGAACCTGGGAGTCTTCAGCCACAAAGTCATACATTCCTCTTCCTTGGATTTTTGTTAAATTCTATCACCTTTTCTGTCATCATAAAGAAAGAAGGGCAAGCCGGGCGTGGTGGTGCACCTGTAATCCCAGCACTCAGGAGGCTGAGGCAGGAGGATCACTGTGAGTTCCAGACCAGCCTGGGCTACACAGTGAGTTCCAGGTCAGTCTCAACTACACAGTGAGACCCTGTCTCAAAAAAACAAAAACAAAACAAACAAACAAACAAACAAAAAAAAAACAAAAAAAGAAAGGGTGAGGAAGAAAAAAAATAATCCATCCTTTCTGAACTTCCATAGTTCTCAAAACATCTTAAAAAGGCAAAATAAGCACCATCTAGAGATTTACAGAACAGAATTGGAGACCAGGTATTTACCAGCCTTCTGCCCATCTCCAATTTTCTTTGCGGCTTCTAACGTGACAGTGTACATCCATCAATAGAGAACACCTGAAACAATCCCGGCACACTGGACAGTGGTGTGGCCGTGAGACGGGAGTGGACGTGAACGGGCTACCGCGGGAAGCTCTCAAAGCCAAAAGCGGTAAGATACAGCTGTGTGTGCCGCACACTCACTTGTGCCTTGGGGGCATCCTGCACATCTACAGAAGCCTACACTGTGGAGGGTAGTTACCTACTGTAGAGAACAGGACTGGGAGTCTGGGAACAAGGGGTGTGTGCGCCTGCGCAGCACAGGGCCTGTGCGGGCTCGGTAAGAGCACCACCACAAGGCTCCATCCATCCTCCGCCCTACTTCCCTATTTAAATGTTGAGACAGCATCTTGCTGAATTGCCCAGGCTGGCCTCGAACTTGCAATCATCCTGCCTCAAACTCCCGAGTAGCTAAGATCACAGTTAGCTGCCAACATGCCCAGCCAGAAAAGACTTTTGTTTCACGTTCTTTTTGATAGAGCTTGTTTTTTTATTATTTTCATATTTTTGACAAACACATGCCTGATCCTCAGAGAGAGGCAAAGATCCAAACAGTTGCAAAATTTTATCCCTGCCCACAGATGCTTACTCTACTCCTTCAAGGGGCTATGGTTTTATGAATAGTATCAAAATGAATGGCCTCCAAGATAGCAGGGACTTTTTTTGTTTTTGTTTTGTTTTCTTTTGTTTTTTGGGGTTTTTTTGGGTACTAGGGACGATCTCTGGACCTTGCACTTAACAAGGCAAGCAGTGGAACCACTGAGCTAAATTGCCAGCCCCAGGAACTTTTATAAATGCAAACTAACTTAAAGATGTAGTTACATGATTCCTTTTAGAAAAGCAACTCCCCGCTGGAAAAGGCTCTTTAACCCAATTTCCCAAGGAATTAAACCACGTCAAGGTAGTCCTAAAAATGTTTTATAGAACTAACCTGGGTCTTCATGTCCTGAATAAAAGTTTTCAAGTAAAAAAAAAAAAATCCACGATAAACACGGTATGCTAATATTAAATCTCCTTATAGAGCTCTTCACAAAACAACAACTTCTCAAAGTACCAGTGTAACTGAAACATTTTCACTGATCACCACTTCTCCCAGGGCAGGCAGCCTTGAATCTCTACTCCGCGGGCAGAGAAGCCCCACACCGACTCCTCACTGGTGACACCCACAGTGGGCACCAGGCATGTGGGACAGGCGCAGACACATCTATGCGCTGCCCATGGCACTCCTGTCCATGATGACTCTGGGCTGTGTATGCAGGAGCTCCACAAGATCATAACAGAGCTGAGAAGGCCCCATCGCCAAGTGACACTGTGCTGCGCCCACATCATGCGTTTCTCGTGCCTTGATTCGATGCTGGTCCAGATGCACCTGCAGCCACACCACTGGTCATGTAAGGGGAGCACCTGCGCCGGGAGCAGTGCGTAACACCGGAAGGTAACACAGGACCGCGCTGCTGGTGCACGTGTTTACTATACCCACTGATATTTTTGGAGGCTTTTTTTTTAATACTGAAGATTGAACTCAGGACCTTGCACTTGCCAGGCATGCGGCGGAACCACTGAGCTAAATCCCTGTCTCACCTATTGATATTTTAACACACACACTCCTACTTAAGAAAACGAGCTGACTATAAAGCGGCCCCAGAAAGCACCCTAAACACAGAAGGCGTCGGTCCCCTGTGCATTACTGTCCCAGGTGACCTCGTGGAAGTGGAAGACAGCGTTCCCAACGGTCCTGACCCATGTGGGCCCAGGCCACTGGCTGTAGCTGTGTCTGCATTTCTAACAAACGATATCTGAAAACTAAAACTAAATTCCTTGTAGAATAAGGCCATAAACAAAATATTTCTGTACAGCTATGCAATGTATGCCTTTTAAACTGTTACGACAAAAGCCAGAAAGTTTAAAGAATTTTAAAAATCTATAAAGTAAAAAAGTGACATTAAGCTGAGGTTAACTTCTTACTGAAGAAGGCATTTTAAATCGATTTCAGGTGGTCTAAGTGTGCAGTGTTTACTCAGCCTGCAGCCGTGGACAGGTCCCACGAGCTAAGTGCATGCACTGCTCTGTGTCGTGACAGGATCGTCACTGTGCCTTTTCCGTGCCCACTTGTGTAGATACACGGACATCGCACCGTGTTACAACTGCCTGCGGAGTTCACTGCTGTACCACATTGTCCAGGTTTACAGTTGGGAGCAACGGGCCACACCTGCAGCCTAGGTGTGCAGCTGCCCTTCCCAGCGTGTGTCAGCTCACACAGGGCCAGAACTGCTGAACGCAGTACCGCCCGAAACATGTGCCCCAGAGTACAGCCTGGGTGTGACACAGGGTGTCTGTCCCCGAAGGCCCACGCATGTCGGAGCCTGTTCTCAGAGCTCCTGTGACTGTGGGCTGCCCCGTTTCACTTGATTTCTATGTGTATTTGGTTTTGCCTTTCAAAAACAGCCTCTAAACAATAACTACAAAGAGCAATAAAGCCACATCCTTAAGGCTGAAATTAGTTTCTCACAAGCCAAAACGGTAAAAAAAAAAAAAAAAAAAAAAAAAAAAAAAATTGTTGGTCCTAGGATTCATTTTAAAATGAAATAATATTAAAAGCATATTAAAAAGTTTACATTTAACTAATTTTTATTATAGTTCAGCATTTGAACAGCCACAGGCCCTAGAGACCAAGAAATCCTATTCACAAGTTAGAAGAGTACATTAAAAACATTCAGAGAATCACTGTTCACAAAAGAAGACAACAACAAAACAACCCACAACCTAAAGGCCAATGGACAAAAGAATGGCGGTAAGCACATAGTGCACGCGCACACACACACACACACACACACACCCTGTCAGTGCACAGGGATGTCTCATGGTAGTCCCCCCCACAATCTCTTGATGGAATATCTCCTCTGTGTAATATTTAATAATTTATAGGCATTTAAAAATAAAAACTATGGATTAAATTATATAATAAAATAAACCAAATGTGTTGTAGACGGAGTAACAACTTTCAAGCCTACTGCTGGCTCTATTCTTAGCTCTTCAGGTAATAATGTTCAAATCTAAATTATGATCTGGGCTCAAAGGCCCTCAGGCCACACCTACAAAGGGGGCCACATAACCAGCCCACCCCGCCCCCAGCCCCCTGTCCCAGCTAGCTGGGGGAGGAGCAGGAGGGGAGGAGGAGCAGGCCAGGCACCATGGCAGGGCTCCTCCAGGTGACCCCCCCGCCATCTTAGGCTTGTGATCAGCAGAGCACAGGAGAACTTGTTCTACAAGCAGCGCTCTAGCAGTTTTCCCTTTCAGTTCTCACTGAAAGCATGCGTGTCCAGCCCACCAGCTGTTCTATTCATGGTGCAATGAGGCTATACGATGCTCTGCTGTTCCAACAACTGCCCCCTCAGATTTTTGTTTGAAATCGTAGAAGTCTAGCCTCCAAGATACGGACCATCAGTTCCTGGAACCTGATTCCCTCTCCCCCACCCGTTAATCAGGTTTAAAGACTGGAACCGTACACTCACCTTTATGACACTCTCAGCAAACCTCTGTACAAAACTGACTGGGAAAAGAAGTCTCAGTTCAGTGGATTCAAACACTCTAGTGTCCAGGGAGTGAAAGACTGCATTTACTCTGCAGCAAGACATGGACACACACAGAGCCACAGGTTGAAGACAGAGTTCCCAGGAGATCAACAGTGCCTGGGGTGCAGAACTCACATGAAACGGAACCTTCACCCCTGCAGGAGCCCACACCCCCCCGTGGGAGTCCCGGGATGGCCGGGAGTCCCGGGATGGCCGGGAGCCCTGATTCAGATGCTTCAGATGCGTACCACACACGAACTTCCTCTCCCCACCCACAGCTGGGACCCCACCACGCCCTCCTTCCTCCTGCTCCGCGGTGGCTGAGCGCCACAGGCAGGTTTGTGGGGGCTCCAGGTTCCGGAAGGGGGACTGGAAGATACCCACTTGTGGAGAGATACGATGTCCCAAGTTAGACTTTGACTCAGAGCCTGCCAGGCCGGGGTGACTGCAGAGCACAGTGGGAGGGGAATGGCCCTTTCCAGGCAGCAGCCGGCACACCCGAGCCCACATATGTGCCTACCTCCTCAATCACTCAATCACTCATGCTGGAGCTACATTTTTAAAGAGACCAAACAATAAAGGAGCTCAGCAGTTCGTTAGCTTAGGCAGTTTAAATACCTAGAAACCCACCGAGAAATCAGGGAGGGATTCGGGCAAGCACAAAGTTAAGTATTAAGAAGATAGAAATAATCTGCATTTCTTTCAAGAATCTCACAGGACATTAATCACCATAAAGCTCTACAATGCGTATTTACGGGTTCTGGCTGGAGCAGGAGGGTGGTGAAGACTTACCAAAGCCACACAACAAATCGGACCAGACCAGGACCGGCAACCAGCTCACCTTCCTGCCTGAGCAGCAGCCAAGTGTGCCTGACGGCCAGGCTGGTATCAGAACAGCACCGAGCAGTGACTCAGCCTGGACTTTGGAGATCCTGCTCACACGGGTATTCCCGTGTTTGTCTCGGAGAAACTCCACACCCTGTGCTGTGCCCCACATGAGGGCCAGTGGTAACGCACAGATGGCTCTTTGTGCCGTCAGCGGGAGCCAGGCACGGTCTACATCTCTTCAGGGAGGCTGAGCTAAACGGAGTCCTGCACAACACACAACTCCCAGGACCCCTCGGTCACCTACGAGGCAAAGGGCTCCGCTTAGCAAATCCAAGCTGGGCACAGCACATGCGAAGCAGCGGACTACTCAGGACACCGAGTACAAAGGCGGGAAGACTAAGCAGGGAAGTGGTTGGCGCCAAGAAGGGGCGCATGGGAGACGCCGCCCCCTGTTGATCCTTTTATGAGACAGATGCTCTGGGCGCCTCTGGTGACAGGCACATGGCAACGGGCATAGTCCCCTCCCAGTCTATGGCCAAGGAGTGGGAAACAATGACAACCATTGACAAGTGCGAGGACAGGCGTCCTTGGTGCTGAGGGAGCACCAGGAGGAGCTGCTAAGGCAGAGAGAGCAGACACAACTCGATTCTTTCTGAAGCACAGGGAAAGAGACCTGGCAGGTGATATTCCAGGTAAAGTGACTTCTGAATAGGCCAGGGGTCTGCTATGGATGTGGATGATGGAGTGCAAGGCAAGGGTGGCAGGAGAGCTGGGATAAGCCAGGTGTGGTGGCACGTGCGTGTAGCCCCAGCACTGAGGTAGAAGAATCACAAGTTCGAGTCTAGCCAGGGCAATTTAAAGATGGCCTGTGTGAAAAATTTCAAAGCTAGAAGTGTTGTTCAGTGTAAAGAACCTAGGTTCAAACTCCAGTACCGGGGGGTTGAAGGAGTCAGATGAAAAGCAGGGATCAGACTTCAAGCATCCCAGTTAAATCCCACTAGATGTTAGGATTTCGTGTGAGAGGCCACTTGGCAGCCTGCAATCTCTGGGATCCACAGGGAAGATGTATTTCAGGGGAGCAGACTGGAGCCTGCTGTGACAACCCTGGGCGAGAGCCGGTGGAGCTGGACACAGGGTGATAGAGAGGTCAGGCCTGAGAGGCACGAAGGAGACAGCATCAAACAGGACTTAGCACCTGGGTACAGGTGGGGAGTCAAGGAAAACCCACTTTGGTCCCATTCCTCCTGGAGGCTATACGGTCATTCACAACACAGGTGTGTTAAGTTACTTTTCTCTAGATGCTGAGACAAAATACCCCACACTCCAAGTTAGAGGGGGAAGGGCATTCATGTGGCTTACAGTTCGCAGAGGTTTCAGTCCATAACTGGCTGGCCCCAAGGCAGGGTGGCACGGCAGACAGGAATCGCAGAAGAGAAACAGTTCATGGTAGTCAGAAGGTAGCAAAGCAAGCAAGGGACCTTAGCAGTGTCTTTCTGTCCCTTCTGTACACTATCTAGGCTGCCGGGATTAGGGCAGTGCCAAACCAATGATATACTGGTTTAGTAATCACACACCTTAATCCCAGCAACATCCTCTAGATTCAGCCACCACATGAGGCTTTGGAGGGACAACTAGATGCAAACCATAACAACAGGCAAGAGGAGTTTAGAGGAGGACTCAGGACAGGGTGAACTTGAGGTTCCCAGGACCCCAAGGAATGGATGTTCTGATGGGTGCTGCTCTCTGACAGGAATGGGCCCAAGAAAGAACCCGGGAGCCAGCAGCAGCAGGTGCCTGGCATCTGACTCAGGGACAGGCACCACAGGTGTAGGGTCAGCCCACACCTGGTCAGGTCCTGGCCTTGACTCTCAGTAGCTGCATGGCTGCAGGCAAGTAAATTAACCTTTCTGAGATTCTGGCTTTATCTAAGAGATTCCTCTTGAGATTGAAGCCATGGCAGTCAGAAGATGTTTAATATTGTCCTTTTGCCCTTTTGAGATCACATACGGCTTTGGATTATAATCAGAGTTTTTAACCTACGCGGCAGATTACAAGCTTTCTTGCTGTCTGTCAGTCATTTGTCTTTAAATCCCTTTTGACCTTTCTCACATCACAGGTTCTCAAATATCTGAAATGCCACAAGTCATATAAAACCACAGGTCAGAATTGTCCAGGGGACCAGGAGTTTCCTGCTCTTGACATTAAATAACAAGTGCAAAGATCTCAAAATTGCGAGGTGGTTTTGGTGGTATTGATTTAACTGTATTGGTGGTGTAGTCGGGGAGAAAAGGGCAAAGAGGTTTGGAAATGAGGGGGAATTCCATCGGTGTAATAGAGCCAGAAAAGTCTACTGTGCACAGAACTACACCGTAATACTGAGGAGGAAGACTCCTTACTGAAACTAATATTCTATGACCTCTAGCCTCTGGCTCGGTTCAAGGAAGGTTCTAAAATAATGTTAAATAATAAATGCTAGCAAATGGGTTTTGCCTCAAACGAAATGTTAAGTCAACTACTTTATACACAAGAAATATGTGCTTTATTTTTCGTTAGGCTCATTTTATTTTGTAACTCAGAACCTTCTAAAACAAAGGATGGTCCCTGACTTCGTCTGACTTAAATTTTTTTTTGCCAATTTCACCATGGCGTGACAGTGATACCGCAGAAACTTCATTCAAATCAGGATCTTGCCCTGGGTTAGTGCAGTGTGTTACCACCCTCTCCGGGGACCCACTGGGTGCTGTCATTGCTGAGGCTTTCCGGTCAGACGCAATCACCAGGGGACGACACAGCACCCCGCCTGTGTGGCGAAGCCATGGTCCTGAGTATATTAAATGCATTTTCAAGTTAGGGTAATTTCAACTTGGGATGAATTTATCAGGACGCATCCCCATCAGATAACAAGCATCTCTACAGTAAGATGAAAAGGCCAGACTGACCATTAACGGCATACATAATTCAATTCCGCGTAGCTGAGCTTGTTCATTTCTCTTCAAACTTGGACTCCAACTTGTCTTACCCATGTTTCTGGCTACTTTAATAGTCTGAACATAGCCACTGGATATTTTATTTCATCTCCAACTTTCTTGCTGAAACACGTTCACAGTCACTCCCTGCATCGTTTCTGATCCTTTCTTGGTAGCTTCCTGTTGTCACATTCTTTCCCCCATGTCCTAGTTCAGGACACCTACGTCCTCCTGTGCAGTACTTAGCCATATACATTTAAAGAAAGAAAGAATGAAAGAATCAACCTAGCTGCTTATATGAAATTACTGACAGCTGCCTTGGAGCTCCAGACTTCCTGGATCATTAACTGTGTTAATTAGATACAGATAATCAGTTCAGAGCTAACGGTCTGCAGGACTTTCCTTAGTCCACATGTGACACGGCCAGGATGACGAGTCCCCAAGCCCCAAGGAGGAACAAGTACTTTGCCCTCACGTTTGCAGTCCTAGCCTGAGGTTTTCGCTGCTCTCCGGTTTTCTGGACTATGGGTGGCTCTGGTTAAACTCACAGTACACACGCCCACCCCTTTTAACCAACCTCAAAGATTTTGACACCTCCCTGGCACATGGACCCCAAGCTGTCTTGCAATTCTTCCCTGCTTCGAATGGACTTGAATTTTCCACCTTTAAATAACTGTTTTTGTGGCTATGAAGTCCTCGTCCGGCCTGCTGCCAATAGGGCACAAAATGAAGACAGACAGAGGGCCGGATCAGATGGCACTGGCCACTAAGCCAGCAAGATCCCCATGAGCCCAGGTGGCCGGTCTGTGTTAAGTTTTCCCCAGGAAACTGAGGAGACACAGGTGGTGCAAGTGACAGATGACTAAGACTAATTCTCTCAGCTGCAAACAGGACTCTGAAATGCTCGAGTAACAACGCACACGTGCACATGCAGGCCTGGGTGTCTCGCCACGACCTGCATTACAGGTGTTTAAAACGGAGAGCAGCTCAGCGCTGTAATGCTTCACCCAAAACTGCCCTATGGCTTCTACTACACGAGCCGGTGATGGCCAGGAAGCAGTGTAAGCGGCCGAGAGCACAGGGTCTTACTTTACTCAGAGTCCAGCTCAGGATCTGTGACCAAGACGTAAAGCTCTCTCTTTGCACATTCAGGGTTAGCTACTTGCTCTCTTAAGTCACTATCCTCTCCTGCCTCGGAGCACTTCATATATTTTAAAAATCCCTCTCTTTCTCACAGATAGCTCGTTTAATTCCACCAGAGATCCATGAGTGAGTCTCAGGCTTTGCGGGTGTGGACAGGGATATCTGTGTCCTGCATGCACACCAGCTGAACCAGGGAAGCTGTCAGAGGGGAAACGACCTCCCGAGCAAGACGGCACAGGCTTTGAGGGGATGAGATATTCGCATCTATCCTTATTTAAGATACCCGTATACCTTGTCTCAACATTTTGCTTTTGGAAACTTACTCATCTATAGGGCCCGGAGATGCTGCCAGCAGCATATACAAAGCCCTGGGTTTGAGCCCCAGTACTGCAAGAAAAAGAAAGAGATTTACCCAAACGTAGTTACCAAAAACCATAATGAAGATTTTTAAAAACAGTACTACAAAGCAAAACAAATGAAGGAACTTACGCTGGACATGTATCCACAGGGGACTGCTAATCAACACTGGACCATTCTATAAAGATGCCTAAGAAATATCACCTTGCCAGCTCTGGAGGAAAGGGGAAGAAGCTGGAAAGGACTTTACTCTCCACCTTTTCATATTGAGATTTTTTTTCTTTCCTTCCTAGGAACTTGCACTTTTTAAGCTAAGCTGGTTAGGTTTATGCAGATGATATACGACATACTTCACTTAACGTCATTGTTTAATCTTTGTTAAACAGGACAGAAGAGCCTGGGCTCAAACACAAACTCTACAGAATGGATACACATGGTGCTTGTGTTGGCAGTTAATGATTTAATCTTTAAACCCAGATTCTCAGAGACCGGAGTTTTGTCCAAAGGCCAACACTGTGTTATGGTCTCCTCTATAATCTGTGAGCCATCACCCCTGGGCCAAAGATAAGGTGTTTAGTTTTACTCAGTAGGGCAAAAACAAACAAGAAAACAAAACTCCCCAGGTTAAAAACCACCACCACCACCACCACAAGACTGACGCCAGGCCTGGTGAGGGACGCACTGACTCTCTGGGTCTGGAATCCAAGCTGCACAGTTTTAACAAGCTGCCCAGGTAACTCAGATGTCACCGGCACTGGCTCCTGCACACCAGAAGTAACTGCTTAGCACACACTATCCTAGCCAACAAAAAA